GTCACTACCAAAACGTGTCCAGGAAATTCGTGCTGCCAATGGAGGACACAGTAGTTAATAATAAACTGTAACATTTTGTATGACCTGACTTGTAATATGATTGAAATATAGTGCTTATTGCATATAAACATATTTTGTCTGATTACTAGACTAACTGAAGTTATGCAAGGAGGGGGGGGGGGGCAAAACTTATGGGCCACCCTGTATATATATATATATATATATATATATATATATATATATATATATATATATATATATATATATATATATATATATATATTAAATAGCAGGAAAAAAAAATGAATTTTTTAAATCGCGCAGGCTAACTTAAAAATGACCGTCCTGTCAGCGCTTTTTTGTGTGCTGGCATCAAAATTCAAACGGAGTTTGAATTTTGATGCCAGCACACAAAAAGACTGTATATAGTATTTAAAATATAAATTTTATGTTGATTATTAATACTATGAAAACAATATTTTATAGATATAGTTGTTTTAAAAACCAAACCAAAGTAATAAAGTAAAAAAAATGGAGGTTAGTTAAGAATTTACTTGTGTTACACACAAATTATATTTGCATAAATATTAAATATTAATATTTATATTATATTTTAACTTAAAATAACTAAATAACAAAAAAACACAAATATGAACTTGAATGGGAAACTTAAAACAACAGTTTTTATATCTAAACTTAAGTTCCTTTTTTTTAAAACTGCCCAGTTTTAAAAAAAAGGAACTCTAATTGTGAAAGAAATTTTTTTAGTTTGATGGATGCACAACAAATTGCTGAAAAATAGTTTGCAACTAATCAATTTATTAACTATTTACTATTCAATAATATCAAAATATTACGCTTGATTATAAAAGTATAAATTTTATTTAAAACTTATGTTTACAAGTTGAGTAATATACAAGCATTGTTTTTAATCATTTAAGTTGCAATGCAAATGTCAAGTGCAACAATTTTAGTTGAAAGTAAAATTCCAAGTTTATTCCAAGTTTATTATTTAAGTTGGAAATAGAGTTACAAGCCTCAAAAATGTCAATCGACTCATACAAATAAAAAAATTACAAAATAACTTTAGTTAGTTGATTCTATTTTTGAACATTTGTTTTGGTACAGTAGTTTTTTGTATTCCTAATTTTTCTTTGAACATTTGCTGTTATTTTTGCAATTTTAATTGATGATGGTGCGATGGTTTAGAAGTTTTTTAAACTAATCAGGTTCTTAATTATTGTTCAAAATAAATAACTTCACAAGATTATTTATAGTAAATACTGATACAGTTAAAAGTTGTTAACATTTTAAATCAGTTTAATTAACTAGTTTTAACATGATTGTAAGCATAAAATTGTAGGCAATTAACTTTTTTATAACTTAAAAGTAATATATAATAATCAATCAGTTTATGTAATACCATAACAATTAAAAATAAGTAACTCCTTAACTGTTTATAATATTTTATTTTATCATATATATATTAAAAAAATTTTTCTAATAAAAATTTTCGGTAAAAATTATCTTTAATGTTAACCTAATAATGAATAAAAAATTTTTTAATAAAAAATTAATAAATATATTTTCAAAATTTTTTTTTTTTTTTTTTTTATCAATTCACCTCTTCAAGGCCGAGAAGGACACTACAGACGAGGAGGCTACTTAATAGTGGTTATAACCCTCTCTCAACTCTATAACTCCGAAACACGAACCTTGATGAACAAGGCCGCTGCGCGGAGAAACAAGTTGAGCGCGGTACTACCAGGGGCGTGGTGGGGATCGAACTCGGAACCTCTCGCTTATGAAGCGAGTGTTTTACCACTACACCACTACCGCTAAATGCTAAAACTCTCTTGAAAATGCTAAAACTCTCTTGAAAAAAATAATTATTAGCTATATAAATGTTTTCTATATATAATTTAATGTTTGCTATTTATTCTTAATTTAATTGGTTGCTTTTATTTTAATCATTTTGATTTTTATTAGTTTTATTTGTTTTATCATATTGAAATATATTGTTTTAGTTAATGGCTTAAAAAATTTTATTTTTTAAATTTATTTTTAGTTTGTAAACAGATATGGTGTCAAAAAGGTATTTGTAAAATCAATTTTTTGTATATATATATATATATATATATATATATATATATATATATATATATATATATATATATATATATATATATATATATATATATATATATATATATACACACTTATATAATAAAAAATATATATAATATACATATACAACTTCAAAATGACATTTAAATAGCTTCTTGTTGCTTTTAACTCCTCTATCAATAAATTTTAGTGAGAGTTTTCTTTCTTCGGAGAATGCACCAAAAGCCATAACCCCTGATCATTTTGGTATCAATGAATCTTACATTTCATGGGATCTTTTGTAAACTTAAACTGGATCTTTTTGTCTATTAAGGAAACCATCAAGCGTGAACAATTTTTCATCAGAAATTTTTGATGGGTCACGATGGTGTTTCTTTAACATTTTTCATCTCTTAACACATTCTAGCTTATTTCTGTTTGTCAGATCAGCAAATAATTGTTTTATATAATCTTTCATTCCTGAGTATGTTTTAATCAAACTGATGTTTTTAGGATCAGTTCCGAATTCTTTTGCAATTAATCTTCCTGATAGAATTAGATATATAGAATATATGTTATATAGAAGAAGATTTATTGAGTATATGTTATAAAGAAGATGTATTCTTCTATATATGTTATATAGTAGAAGAGAAGAAGTGAGCATACACTTTGACAGCACATATAGCTTAAACAATTGTGGAAGGACTTTAGGGTGTTTTAGTGGAGTTTAACTTGTAGGGATCAATCATATAATTGTAACTGACGCAACAAGCATGAATACCAACACAAAAACTTGATTTTTTTATTCATCTGCACTAAAAAAAAGAGAGATTATTTCAAATCCAAGCCAGCACCATGTAATAAGTTATAGTTTGCCTTGGCATAAGTTCTATGGGTTGACTAAACATTGAAAATTTCTTTGTGCATTTAATGAGCAGTTATGATGAAGCAGTCTTCAGCAGTTATAAAATTGGTTAAATGGTAATATTAGTGGTAATACTGCAAGATTAAGGAATCAGGCTGTTAGTGAAACAACATGAGAAATAGGTATGTTAGTGAAACAACATGAAAAATAGGTGTGTTTGTGAGACAACATGCGAAATAGCTGTGTTTGTGAAACAACGTGAGAAATAGCAATGTTTGTCAGAAAACATGAGGTTTGTCTGTCATTTCACTTGTATTTTCTTTCACTTTATTGAAAAGAATAAGATTTGAAATCTGTTATATCTTATTTAATATATATTAGTGCTAGATGTAGAAATCTAATTTTTTTGCCTGACTTGTCAAACTTGCCATTATATTGGAGCTATTCTACTTCATCAATGATAATTTTTAATACTTTATTAAAATTTATCATTTTGGAATTTTATGTTTAGCTCAGTAGATTTTTAAAAAAAGAGCAGAATAACATTGCAGTGCAAAATGTTTTACACAAATAGTTTTGAACAATTTTAAACTGTTAATTAAATTACTAATACAAAATTACAAGTATATAACATATAAATAAAATTAGATTTAAAAAAGAATTTGTTGATAAATAGTTATCATCAATATTAATTTTGATAAATTAATAATGTATTGTATATTAAATTTAATCATTTATTTTCAAATTAAATATTTTCACAATAAAATAGAGAATTGTAGCGTCTTAGGAAAATAATAAGTATCTAGGAGTCTAATGGTTTAAAAAACTATTTTATTGAAGAGGATAATGTGTTATCAAAGTTTGTGCAGTGTTCCTAGAAATGGGCATCAATGAACAAAGGAAAACTGTTAGTTTTAAAAAAGGATTCAACAAAAAGTTTAAATATAAACCAGAGTCACTTTTTGACATTAGAAAACTTAATGTTTATTTCCTTGCTCAATTTATAATTTTTTTAAATTTTAATAATATAAAATTTTTAAATTTTAGTTTTATGTTATAATATTCAATGTAAAAGAGTTACAAGTTGTAGCTCATGGTATGTCAAAAGACAAAAATGGGTAAAAATGATTTAACATTCAAAGATCATAAAAAAAGAGCTAGAAACTAATTTACAAGCGGACATATAGCTAAGAAGCTAAAATTAAAGATTGAATAATTACTAGAGAGACAATTAGTTTACAGATTATATGTCAATAGAGGCCAATGGTGAAGTCCAACATTTTAATAATAATGACTATGATTACTTAGGTTTATGTATTTATGTATATATGTATGTATGTATGTATGTATGTATGTATGTATGTATGTATGTATGTATGTATGTATGTATGTATGTATGTATGTATGTATGTATGTATGTATGTATGTATGTATGTATGTATGTATGAATGAATGCATGTATGTATGTATGAATGCATGTATGTATGTATGTATGTATGTATGTATGTATGTATGTATGTATGTATGTATGTATGTATGTATGTATGTATGTATGTATGTATGTATGTATGTATGTATGTATGTATGTAGGTATGTATGTATGTATGTATGTATGTATGTATGTATGTATATATGTATGTTGTATGTATGTATGTTTGTATGTATTTATGTATGTATGTATGTATGTATGTATGTATGCATGTATGTATGTATGTAGGTATGTATGTATGTATGTATGTATGTATGTATGTATATATGTATGTTGTATGTATGTATGTACATATATAAATATTAATCTATGTATTTGTATCAATTATTTTATAGGTATTTTGCACATCTACTTTGCTTTACTCTGGTTTAGTTTTTTTACTCCCAACAACCAGGCTAATTAAAAATAGGTAATAAATTAATATTTATATAAAGTTGAGCATTTTGTATTTATTTAAGATAAAATATTTTATCTCCAAAACAAAATGAGACATGTTGAAATTTATAAAAGCACTATCCTGATTATCATTTCAATTTTAATACAAAACAGTTTAATTAAATTTAAATTAAATATAGTATAAGCAACTATTGCATGTAAGCTAAATATATATTAAGATACTAATATACCAATAAAACTGCAGAAATTAAAAATATGCTATATTTCAACTTAAAAAAATTAAGGAACTTTTAAGATTGTACCATCAAAAGCATATCAGATCAGTAATTGATGGCTTATCCCTAGGTATAGAAAAGTTAGCTGACTTATACTTGTTTTATTTGAGACCAGGCAGTTCGATGTTCTTTATACAGTTCTTCATCTTTTTTGAGCCTGCCATGCAAACATGCTTTATCATCACTTTTTTTCCATATTTTCTCAGTCAAAAAATTGAGCATTGAATTACAGTGATTTCATTTGTATTAAAAAATGCTTCAAGTTTTTATGTGTGTTTGTGATTTTCATAAATGTTTTTTTGTAAAATTTACCTTAGAGGAATTTTTTCAACTATAAAAAATATGATTTAATTTTCCAAAATTCAATTTTGTATTTGTCCATTAAATCTTCAATGCGATAGTGTGACCACAATCTAGAAAATCCTGAGAAGCACCTCAATACCATCAAGCCTTTTTTAATCTCCTTGTAAAAAAACTCCTTTAATGTGCATTGGTTTTAATAACTTATCAACTAGTTTTCTGAAATTTTATCAACTAGTTTTCTCAAATTTTATTACCTAATTTTATTAACTTTTTTCAAATTTTTTTTTTATTATCTAAACGTCTAAGGTTAAAATTCAACTCATCTAAACTATCTATTTATCTCCACAACATCTAAACTAAAATATTTATCTCCACTGCACTTCTGTCCAATTTATGCAAGCCTTGGCGAACTCCAAATATATTATTTGAATTTTTGCCAATATGAATGGTTTTTTTGCATTGTAACTATAAAACTCTGCATCATTCAAATGTAACCATACTGTGTTTACCTTTGGTTCTTTTGGTTTTATACTTGTTTACAATTAATTTATAACCCCTTTTAAAATTTTTTTTTTTTTTACATAAATCACTTTGCTTAGTTACAGCCTTATGGTTATTAATAATTTTTAGATTTTTTTACATTAGTATTTACTATGTGTTGTTCTGTTGTCAAAATTTTATAGTTATAATTTTAATTTATGCTTCTACTAAATAAGATTACAGTTTATTTCCGATAACTCAAACCTCCAAGAGACCAAGTAAAATGGTTTCATTTAATGAATGTTTAAATAAAGTGAATTTTTGTTAAGTCAAACTTTGGCTATTATGAGGTATTAGTTTGAGTATTATAACGATTTTTTTTTACTCAATGCTTAAGTATAAACATTAAAAATACACCATTATGGTTACAAAAACATGATATATGTTTCAGTAAACTAAGTTAAGTATTCACTCTGTGCACTCAACAGATAACATTGAAAAAAGTTTAGCAACACAATGACTTCCTTAATGTTTGGTAATAAAATTGCATCTAAAAGCTAGCAATCTTTTATATTGAAATTTTTTAAAGTCATTTTGACTTCTTAATTATCCATATTAAACCAAAGAAATTTGCTCAAAGGGGGAAAAAAAAGGTTCAACCTAACAAAGTTTGAGTTATTCAAGGCTTGACATAATCAAAGATTTTTAATAGTATCAATTAGACAACTTAAAAGAGACTTCATTTTTTTTGTATGCAAAGTATAAAAACATGTAGATGTTCTATTTTTTTTTCAGTTTGCTTTTTTTGCATTGTTTTTTTGATTTTACAAGTTAGTAATAGTTATTTGTCACTGACACCGGTTTTTAATCTATCATTACTTGGATTGAAAAAAAATAAATAAAATGTAAACTCATATAAAATTATAGCAAAGATAATTAATTATAGCTAATTATAGTCATAGATAATTCACCAATTTGTCAGGAAACTAGGTTTGAATCCACAGACTATTCTTTTATGTACTTTTGGTTAGCACCATTCTACTTTATTGCTTTCCTCTTTGTTCTATATTATTCTCCATCTCAAGACTGCACTCTTTTCGATGATATTTCTGATTAAATTGACCAAGCCCTTTCTCTTTATCTTTTAGCCAATATTGTTGTTGTTATTGATTTTAATGCTCATCACACTGAATGGCTTGGTTCTAGTCTCATTGACTCTGCAGGTGTCAAGGCCCTCAATTTTTGTCTTTCTTAATCTCTTAAATAAATTGTCAACTTTTCAACTTGTTTTCCAGACAATCCAAAACATTATTATTGAAAGAAATTGATGTAAAAAGGTGCTTTCTGATGCTAAACTCCATTATTCTCAGTTCACTAAATCTTGCATCTTATCGCAGAAGTTAGGCTCTAAAGACTTTTGGAAAATCTTCAACAGCATTATTAACAAGGGTAGATCTAACATTCCATCTCTCATTCATGGGACTGATCTTATTACCTCTCCCAAGGATAAGGCAGAACTATTTGCAAAGAACTTTTCTTCTAATTCCACTCTTGAATCTTATGGACATTCTCTTCCTTCCATTCCAGTCAAACAGGTTGACCCATTGTTAGACATTCAAATCACTCCGGCTTCTGTTGCTAAAGTCATATCTCAATTAAACTCGTCTACAGCTTGTGGTCCAGACAACATTCCTGTCACAGTCTTGCAGAATTGTTCTCCAGAACTTTCTTCAATTCTCTCTAAACTATTTAACAAGTGTTTGACTGAGTCTTGTTTTCCTGCTTGTTGGAAAATGGCATCTGTGGTTCCAATATTCAAAAACTCTGGAGAAAATTCTGACCCCTCCAAATAACGTCCGATCAGTCTTCTTTCTGTTATTAGCAAGGTCTTTGAGTCTTTGATCAACTAATTCCTCACATCTCATCTTGAGTCAAATAAACTGCTGTCAGATAATCAATACGGTTTTCGATCCTCTCGCTCTACGGCCGACTTGCTAACTGCTGTAACTGAAAGATTTTATCGTGCATTAGATGGAGGCGGTGAGGCTAGGGCTATTGCTCTCGACATATCTAAAGCTTTCGACAAAGTTTGGCATGCTGGTCTTCTCCATAAGCTTGCTTCATATGGTGTTTCTGGGAAAGTTTTTGATTATCAAATCATTTCTTTCTAACCGGTTTATTAAAGTCATCCTTGAAGGCCAATACTCTTCTTTATTTCCAGTAACTTCTGGGGTTCCCCAAGGTTCCATCCTGGGCCCTGTTTTGTTTCTTATCTACATAAACGATCTTCCTGACAACCTTTCACCTAAAGTAGCTCTTTTTGCTGATGACTCAACTTTATACTCCTGTCTTGACAAAAAGTCTTCTCTTTTCGATTGCCTAGAACAAGCAGCTGATCTTGAATCGGATCTCACTTCAGTAATAGATAGGGGTTCACAGTGGATTGTGAATTTCAACTTTAAAAAAACCCAGTTGCTTACTGCAACTTATTATTATATAACTTATTATCGGATCTCACTTCAGTAATAGATAGGGGTTCACAGTGGATTGTGAATTTCAACTTTAAAAAAACCCAGTTGCTTACTGCAAACAACTACCGTAATATGGTCAACATTCCTATATTAATGAATGGCAATCCTCTTACTGAGTCGTCCTCTTTACGTCTTCTTGGATTATCGCTTACTACTGACCTTTCATGGAAACCATATATACAATCGATTGCTAAATTAGCTTCTGCTAAAGTTGCTTCTCTTTATCGTGCTCGCCATTTCCTTACTTCTGATTCCATTCTCTACCTCTACAAATCTCTTATTCGTCCCTGTATGGAATACTGTTGTCATATTTGGGCTGGTTCTTCTAACGATTCACTTTCTCTTCTTGACAAAGTCCAAAATCGCATTGTAAATGTTGTTGGACCTGGACTATCTGCTAAGCTTGAACCTCTTCCCCATCGTCGTAAAGTTGCATCTCTTTCTCTTTTCTACAAATACTATCATGGTCACTGCTCAAAGAAGTTATCATCTCTAGTTCCATCAACTAAAATTCATTCTCGTTTTACTCGTCATTCAGCTAAGTCTCATTCGTTTGCTGTATCTGTCCCTGCATGCTCTAAAAACTTTTATTCATCTAGTTTTTTTCCCCGCACTTCAATCCTTTGGAACTCTCTCCCATCTTCATGTTTTCCTGACTCATACAACCTTCAACTTTTCAAGTCTTCTGTCAACCGTTTCCTTGCTCTATAACTCTGTTCTTTTTTTTCCTAGTAACTCCCAAAATAATAGTGGTTGAATGCAAATAAAAAAAAAAAAAAAAAATTTACCTTCTCTACTCGATATATAAATTTTTTCTAATACTAGTAAGTGCTCTGTTTCACCACATTCACCCTTAGGTGCTTATAATCATTATTTGATCTTTCTAAAACTATTATCTCATTCTTTTTTATCATTAGAATCCCCCTATCATTGTATCTCTTACAACTACCTTAAAGTTTACTGAGACACATAATCTTACTTTCTGATTATCAATATGGATTTCAATCTTCTCATTCTATTGCTGATTTGTTATCGGCAATAACAGATAGGTTTTATTGTGCATTAGATAGATGTGGAAATCGTTTTTGACACTTCTAAATAATCTTCTTCATAAGCTCTCTTCTTACTTTTTTAAGAACTCAAGAAATGTAACATCTTTAAAACTATTGAATCCTTTCCTATCAATTGCAGTATGAAAGTTGTTCTAGCACTTTTCTTCATTTCCTATAACTTCAGCGTTCCTCAAGGTTCTATCCTTGGCCTTATACTTTTTTAAATTTACATTAACGATCTGTCAGAAATTCTCACATCTATGGTGGCATTGTTTGCTGACGATACTACCTTTTTTTTTGTCTTGTTAAAAAGCCAACACTGTCTGATTGCTTGGAGGGGCATTTGTGCTTGAAAAGAATTTGACTTTTGCTACAGAATGGGGCTCTCAGGGGCTGTTGAACTTTAAGTTAAATAAAACTCAATTTTTTTCAGCTAATTATTATGGCAACAGTCTAGATCTTCCTATATTTATAAAGGGTAATGTACTCGATGAGTCATCTACCCTTCATTTTCTAGGATTAACTTTAATTTCCAATCTTTCTTGGAAACTGTATATCAAATCCGTTGCAAAATTAGCATCCGCTAAGGTTGCAACTCTTTATAAAGCTTGACACCTTCTTATTTTAGATTTTATTCTCTATTTCTAAAAATCTCAAATCCGTCCTTGTATGGAATACTGTTGCCCTATCTGGGGCAGATCTTCTAATGATGCCCTTTCTCTTTTAGACAATATGCAAAAATGCATTGTAAACATAGTTGGACCTGCTCTTGCAGCCAACATTCAACCATTATCAAATTGTCATAATGTTGCTTCCCTTTCTCTAATACTATAACGGATACTGCTCTAAAAAGTCTCTTGTGCCACCTACTAAAATTCATTTTCTTGTTAATTGTCATTCAATTAAGTCTCATCCTTTTTCTGTGAATGTTCCTAAATGCTCCAAAAACTCTTATTCGTCTAGTTTTTTTCCTCGAACATCAGTTCTTTGGAATTCACTTCCTTCATTTTGCTTTCCTAATTCATATAATTTGCAATCTTTTAATTCGCCTGTCAATCGTTATCATGCTCTACAATTTTCATCTTTTCTCTTCCAGTAAATTCCAACTCTAATAGTGGTTGCTTGCAGCTTTGTTGGAAGCGAAGATGTTAAAAAAAATAAATAAAAAGAAAATTTTTTTTATTTTTTTATTTTTATCAAAAAATCATTTTTTCTAGAACTATTTTCTGAATAGTTCTCTCTTTAAAAAAGTGGTTTTTATTAACTTGTATTAAATTAGAGAAAAATTATGACCTTTACAACTTTGGAAAAAATCCTAAAATTGCTAAAATATGCCAAAATGAAACCAACTGTGAAATTTTTCAATTCATCCACAAATCTTTTCAGTTAAATTTTTTGATTAGCTACTACTGTCTGCACTAAATGGACATAATATAGGCAGCTTGTTGCAATTATGAACTCAAATATATCTAATAGCAAAACGTCTATTCACCTAAAAAAGTCCAATTTTCAGCCATTTTGAGATGCTTGTAAATTTTTCTAACACTTTGTTTTGATTTAAGATTAACTGCATATAAAACCATTAGATCCAACTATCTGAAAATGCAAACATTATAAACTTTTCAAATTCACACCAAAAATGTCAGCATTTTTAAATAACCCTATTTTTCAATTATCAACTGTTAAATGTGTTAGTAGAAACCAGTACCTCTCTAATCCGCCTACTGGCCTATGTGAAGGGTGCAACTAATTATAAGTCATTTCTTAATAAATATGGTTGGTTTTTCTCTCCTTGATCTGGTTTTTACAGTAGATAAGGGCACAAATAAAGAGGGCATTAACTTTTTAGAGAACTTTATTACGGTTCAAATGAAGGTCTATAAATTAATTTAGATATATAGATAATAATAATAATTTAATATGTAAATATCTAAATTAATTTTATATTGAAAGCGTTATTTCTTTAAATTCTATTTTATTATAGGTGATCAGTGGTCTGTATGTGGTCTGGACACTTCTCCCCTCATTACTTAAGGTGGGGGGTAGGGAACGGTTTGGGGTGGCCCTTATATATCTTATGGTAAAAACAAGAAAAAATACAATAAAGATCTAATGGCCTTAACTGCATATTCATTAGAAAATGAATCATTAGAAAATGCATGTTTTATGTTAGAAAATTAAAGCATGCATCTTTGTAAGTTATTCGCCCCCCTCCCTCCTTTGATTGGTGCTACCATAAACCACTCCCAACCCCACCTTAGGTAGTTGAGGGGGAGGGTCCATGTCATGTTTCTGAGGCTATAATTTCTGAAATTTTGTACTTGGAAGTCTGAAATTTCAAATTTAATCTATCTACATAATGCACATAACAGTATGTTAAAATCAAGAAATTCAGAGATGGTGATCCACAAGCGATTGGTTGAAATACCATGACTGTTTTTTTTTTTTATATTAATACAATAAAACGTTTAATTAATTTTTTGCTGACACAAAATGTTAGGGCAGAGCCGCAGATAATCAATTCCTTTATTCAAGATGCAGCTAATAAAGGTTGAAGGTACAACTCTCTGATTCTACACAGATTTTAGATTTTAATGTTTTTTTGTATTTTAAGAGAACATGTTTTTGTATTTTGTGTTTTGATGTATCAGAAATTTGTTTTATATTTTTAACTGTTACCTATTGTTATTTAATTATAACTATATTTATTATTCATGCTTTTCAAAGTTTCACACAATAGTTGTAATCAATGCGTACATAAATTGACTGATATGACCCTAGTCGCTGTGTAGTTATATGTTGACTAACTTAAATAGGCATGAAGGAAGTAGAATGTACATATATATTATTTTTTTCACTCTTATAGTTCAATATAAAGTTGTATATATTAACAATGACTAAAGTTTAGTCACTGTAAAATTGTTAATTTGTCCGTTTAGTTTAAACGGACAAATAATCTTTAAAGATTTTTGTCGCGGTGCTGGTTATATTAACATTATAATATTTTATGCTAATGTGTATTAACTATTATTATTGTTTAATATTTATTATATTACTATTTTTATTATTATAATTGTATTATTATAAATTATTTTTTCATCGATGAGGTATTGGCTATATCATTGACTCATAATGCTGTATACATCTATATAATATTGCTGAACTTAATAGTTCCCTTAATAGTGCCAGAGCATTTGAGCATGTTTTACACAAAACTCTTGGCAGCTGTTGCAACCGTGGTAATTGCAAAAAAAGAGTCGTATCACTTTGTTTTATAAAAAACGTGAACGAAAGTGTATGCAAATAATCAACGTACGTAAACTTCAAATGATGTAATGTTAAAACATACTAGAACATATTTCAAACATACTAAAACATACTAAAACATACTACAACATATTTCAAGTTTTTTATAGTTTTCCCATGAAAATTGCATGGCGATAATCTTCTTAATTTTGATCTATATCATTTATTTCCTTTTGTAAAGTTTTTCATTGATTATATAGTTTTAAAATTTTTATTACATAATATGTCAGCGTGACCAAGTGGTTAGATCACCAGGCTTTCGAACAGAAATTCCGTGGTTCAAATCCACTATCAGTCACGGATCAGTTTCTACCACTGGCGACTTTTCTTTTTCCGATTTTTTTTTTGAAGTTTTATAGATGCCATATACATAACTAAGGTGACTAACTGTCCTCCTTTTGGAATGAAGGTCCTCTTTTTTTAGGTTCTGTCCTACCTCCTCCTATTTGTCCTTCTTTTTGATATTCTTTTCTATTATTATTTTAAATGCCCAAAGAGGTCCTTACTGTCTTATCACAGAGCAACGGGGAAGAGCATTTTGAAAAGAAGTTCACGCCTCTTTCCTTACCTTTATTAAACTTGCCCAGAGGTGGCATTGAACCACGGATCTCTAGTTTCTGAGGCAAGCGTGCTAACCGCTGTGCTATGGCTGCTCAATGATCAAGGATCAAGATATCTTAAAACTAATTTAAAAATTTTTAAGACTAATTACAACTAAGTTGTTTAATATGAGTGATTTTATACTAGTATGCATTAATCGACTAAAATTTAAGTCAATTTATGAAATGTCAATTAAAAAATCATCTCCAATTTATGTTAAACTGAAATAGCCACAGTCAAGTGTTTCACGAGACCTAATTTAGAGACAACCCTTTATATACCATTTCGAAGACTTCATAAAAAGTAGTTTAAAAAGTATATATATATATATATATATATATATATATATATATATATATATATATATATATATATATATATATATATATATATATATATATATATATATATATATATATATATATATATATATATATATATATATATGTATGTATAGTTAAAACCTCATTATTAGTAAAATATATTTAATTAAATAGTTTAAAGTTTCATGCAATAGCCATCATCAGTTGCAACAAAAAAATGACAAAAAAATTCGGTTACTTTTATAATTATTGAAAAAAAAAATGAACCTGAAAAAAAAAAAAAATGTTTTACTGTCCTTAATTTTTATTGAAAGCACTGTTTTTTGGAAACAATATATTTTTTGGAAACAATATATTTTAGAAATATACTTTTTTATTTTTATTTAATGTGCTTTATTTTATCTTTTTATTATACTTATATATAGCTCGATTTTTTTATGAAATAGTTTTTTTGATTAAAATCTATAGAATATATATAATAAAAAAAATCTTGATAATAATTACTTTGTATTTAACATTCAATTATTTTAGGAAAGGATTATGGGTAGGATTGTGGATTACCCAATGCCTTATTAGATCGATGTATACTGCAGGTCTTTTATGTATCAATGTTTTTATAAACAATTCTGTTGAACCAGAGTTCCTGGGATTGGCGAATGGTATTGGGTTATCTTTTGCTTCATTAGGAAGGTAATATACAAAATCTTGTAACAGAGTTTTTCAGGTTTTAATTTAAATCTTCTTTCTTAACACTGATTAGTGTCTACTTATCTAATTTATTTTTTGAGAAACAAGGGTGCTATATTTAAAAACAATTTATATTATTAATAGATTGATCCAAATATAAATTTTATTAAATTTTTATTTTGAAAATTGTCTTGCATGACCATAGTTGACTTTTTAGTGAATATTAAAATAGAATATTTTATAAAAATATTATTTATAAAACATTCATACAAAATATATTTTTTGTTTATTCAACTTTTTTTTTATCTTATCTAAAAACATTAATTTATTGCTAAAATTAACAATAAAATAATAAACATGTATTTCTTTTCTACTGTGACTTGGTGTGGGCTTTTTAACAATATTACAATAACACGTGAACCATGCAAGATGCTGGCATAATGTATTATACATAAATATACTAGACAGACAGAGTTTCTGCAGAGTTGATTATGATAACATAATCATGATATTATGATAGTGTATAGTTCAAGTATATGGTCTTATTTGGTTTGCTATAAAAAGATCAGGTTGTTACAAAGCCAAAATTTTTTTTTTAAATGATTGAGCTGACAAAACTACGAGATAAAAAGATACAATTAGGTGTTTTCAAAAATTAGTTAAAAAATTATGTTGCTGATTACATTAGAACATTCACTATCGCATGTTTATGGATGATGAAAAAGGAAACCGAGACAAAGCTACAGATCAAAAACTCAAAATAATGAAGCTAAATGAGAAAAAAAAAAATTTCCAAGTTTAAGTCCATTGTAAACTTTCGAATTACCGAGTACAAAAATGTAAAATTAATTTGAAACCTCTTACTTCATATAGTTTTTCACCTGTTGACCTAATAAATACAAAAGAACATGATGAGGTTTTGCCACTTTTGCTTCATCTTCCACACGACTCTCAATCAGTTGAAAATGTAAAGTCTTTAAACGAAGCATCTAAACTAATTTAAAGTCTCAAAAATAAAGGACAGCTATACTCTTATTAAAGATTAAATTAAAAACGAAATTTGCAGAGATGTTAACAAAACCAATCATTTCATCCCAAGTAAAAATAAAAATAATAATTATTTTTTATGAAAATGTGTTTAGTTTTACATAAAAAATCCTAACACACCAATTTTGTTGTCAAAAAGTTTTGCTAGGTGGAACTGCCTTTGTATGTATATATGTCTGTATGTATGTATGTGTATATGTATGTATGTGCGTATGTATATATTATTTCTTAATTTTTTTTTTCTCTTATCTTTAGAGCATTTGGCTCAGTTATTTTTGGTCAATCATATTCCTGGTCAATGAAGAATTTAAAAAATCAATTAGATTTTCACAAAACTGTTTGGTTTCCATTTAACGAATACTTTGCTTTTGCACTGATGTCTGTTTCTACGTTGGTTGTCTTAACAGTTGGTACCTGTCTTCCTAAAAGCATTAATAAGAAATACATTTCGCCAAAATTAAATCAAGAATGTGAAATGGAAAAAACACAAAAAGTTTAATTTTTTTTTTATTATTCTGTGTGAAATTTAAATGAACAAAAAGTAATTTGTTTCTTTTTTAGTTTACGTTAATTTGAAACCTACAATAGATCATTTACAGCAATACAATTCTTAATAAAACATCCTTTAAAAACTTGATTATATATACCAAAACTTATAATGCCGGGTTAAAATTTTTTTTTTTCCAAGTTCACTGCTATTGGCTTTGTATAAATCTATTTTATTAATAATCTACTTTCAATTTTTTTTGAGTTCAAAACATAAGTTTTAAAATTTTATATATACATTGTTCGAGTCGCTATGAACCTGCAAACGAGTTCTAACTCTACGTGAATATTACCTTAACTATGTATGAATCTCTTGATTATAATATACACTACCGTCCATAATTATTACACTACCGTCCATAATTATTCGAATGGTGGTACTTTTCGATGTAAGATATTAAAGTTTTACTATTGGGAGAAAATCTAAAAACAAAATCTACCTGAATTATATGTTATCTTTCTATTTACCTATTAGGTTTACAAAAAAATTAATATAAAGTCCTATTAGATTAATTTATATTTTATTTGTCTATTACATCACCTTTAGCGACAATAACCGCCATACATATTCTTCGCATTCGGCTTAACGACTTATCCAGTTTTTTGAAGTCATAAGAGTTTTTTCCACTTATCCAACTTATGCATCAATAGGCGATAGTTTTTGACACTACTTTTGATTCCTCCCAAAAATCCGATAGTGATTACAAAAGCTAAATCATTCTACTTAATATTTTATCATTCTCGACTTATACAATATTTTGAAGAATATGTTTTGGATTTAAGCTTTAGGTCATTTTCTTCTAAAAAAATAAATGGGTTCCAATCAACTCAATTTTCCAAAGGTATAGAATAACTTTTTAAGTATCCAAGTAAACTACTTTTGTCATTATTTCCTCTATTTTTACCATGAAACCTGTGGCGTTCTAACCAAAATAGCCCTAGACCTTAACTTTACAGCCACTATGTTTTACAGTCGATAACACGCTTTTTTATAACGCATTCAACAGTTTTTTGTTCCAGAAAAACAATCTTTTCTTGAAACCAAAAATTTAAAACTTCGACACGTTGGTCCACGTTTAAAGTCATTGATGGTCCATTTTTTATGAAGTTTTGTCCACTATAGCATTTTTATTTTTCTTATAATTTTTATCAAAGCATTTTAATCAAAATATTTTATGTTTTTTATTTAATTATCTCATAGTGCAAAAATAAACATAAAAATTGGTTGAATAAAAAGTAGTATTTAAATAAAAAGTTAATGTCGTTCGAATAATTATAAATAATCGTGTATATGCAATAAACCAAATCATCATTAGGTTCACATTCTTGAACATCTTGCGTAAAGTGTGCGGGAAAATAAAGTTTAACAATGCCATTAAATTTGCTTGCCAGCTCGTTCCTCACATAATCTACAGCCACTAGATGTCGGTGAAAAAGATAAAGTTCAGAGTATTCAATTGATTTTTTTAATTGTGTCAGCCATATTTAAATACTTAACTGAACTTGTTTAAGACTAAAAGTAAATTTTTGACACCAACAAAAATGTTATTTAGCAAAAAAATAAATTGAATAATAACTTTTTTCAAACAAAAAGCCAGAAAGTATTTCAAAAAGATAGATTACATTTTGCATTTTTTAAAAGTCATATAAATGTCTGCTTTATAAAGCGACCGCAGCTGTTTAATAAAATGTTTTTATTATTCAACAGTTAGGTACTATTCAATATATTTTGTATTGTTAACATTATTTAACGATTTAAGTTACGGATACTACATTTTAAAAGGCGGATATCAAGTTTGTCGATAAGTGAGACTTGCAAGATTTACAAAGCTGTCTTTGTAATTTTTGAAAATCTTGCTTATCGACAAACAACTCTAGTGTGAAAGCAATAAATATGTTCACATAATAACCGATTAACAATTATATTCTGCGTTTATAGTAATGTTCTCGTCTGCTTAATTGTAGTGGATGGGGGTTACAATAGTCAGAGGGGATGGACATAAAAATAAATTTTTGCAGATTGGGCTACTGTAATTGAGTTTGAAGCGAGCATTGAGCATAATTCGCGCCATTGGTAAAGAAGGAAGCGTGATGTATTTAAATACTCTTCCACATTCTTCCACCGCTCTGCAACGAGACCGTTAGGTCTCCTTAGGGCACCAAAAAACAAAAAAAAAATTTAAACAGACTAAAAATTAGTCGACTAATTGTAGTTAGACTAAAAAATTAGTCGGCTAGTTTTAGGTAGAGTAAAATGTTAGTCGGCTAGTTTTAGGTAGACTAAAATGTTAGTCGGTTAGTTTTAGGTAGACTAAAATGTTAGTCGGCTAGTTTTAGGTAGACTAAAATGTTAGTCGGCTAGTTTTAGGTAGACTAAAATGTTAGTCGGCTAGTTTTAGGTAGACTAAAATGTTAGTCGGCTAGTTTTAGGTAGACTAAAATGTTAGTCGGCTAGTTTTAGGTAGACTAAAATGTTAGTCGGCTAGTTTTAGGTAGACTAAAATGTTAGTCGGCTAGTTTTAGGTAGACTAAAATGTTAGTCGACTAGTTGTAGGTAGACTAAAATGTTAGTCGGCTAGTTTTAGGTAGACTAAAATGTTAGTCGGCTAGTTTTACTTAACTAAAAAGTTTTTCGACTAGTTTTAGTTTAACTAAAACATTACTCGGCAATTTAATAATAAATTTTTTAAAATAATAATAAACATTAGTTCGTTAAAAAGTTAATCGACTAATTTTAGTTAGACTTAAAATTTAATCAATTAATTTTATGAAACTAAAAAGTTAGTCGACTAAATTTAGTTGAACTGAAAGGTTATTTGTCTAAATTTAGTAAGACTATAACTAACCTTAACTCCCACCCCTAGAAAATTTCCGCAACTCAATCATATTATTAATCAAGATTAGGGGATGTGCTTCAAAAGAAATATTTGAAATACTGCAAATAATTTGTAATACTCGAGTATGCCAATTAAATATCTGAGGTGTTTTTTCGGAAACGGTCAAATAGCACACGAAGTTAATGATTAATAGAAACAATACACTATCTTGATATTTTTGCTGACAGCCACACGTTAACGAAACGTTAATTTTGAGAAAGTTTTTTAGTAAAAATGCAGTTCTTGTCTATTGTCATGCATTTCATATATAAAATACCTAAAATATATGTCTATTAAGTGATTTCACCAATCTAAATATTCAGTGCAATTAAATTCTTTTAAACAATAATTTTAATTTATTTTTGATACACAGTAAAAGCAAGTTTAATGGTTAACTATAGGTTTAAATCTCCTTATTTTTGTTCTTGAGCTAGATAACTTCCTTTAATAAATAACAACCCTTTAAATGAATATATTAATGTAAGAAATTAAGGTAATCGGAACCTTATAAAAAATTTTCAAAATTCAAAAAGCCTGGAAAGTCCATTATTTTTGATTCTTTGGCCAGAGTACCAATGCTATATATTTTAATGAAAAGTTTAAAAAGTGTTTTATAATTTTCCACCTAAAGTGTTTTTTATATTATTTTTGGTTATAGTAAAACAAAAAATCTGCTTTAGTTTTATAATATTCAAAACTGTTAAAATAATATTCAACGCTTTTTAGTGAGTAAAAAGTCAAAGAAAGTTTGCATTAAAAACCTTCACCAAGGCAATATTGGTATAATTGGATTTAAACCAGTACTTTTAATTAAAGGTGCAGCCATATGAGATGCTAAAAAACTTATAAAATCTTTAGATGCATTAAAGTTTGATGAATTACTCATAATACCGGCTGAAAAAACAGTACAGTGTTGGACTTCAGATGGGATTTCTCCAAGGAATTCAACACCAGGAATTGCAATTAATTCGCTGACTTGTTGGAAACCAATCTCTGCATCACATCTAGCAACAACATGTCCGACTCTCTCGCTAAATATTTTTTTTGTTTTTGCTCTCATTTCATCAGCGATACCAAGTTTAGGAAAAAGATAAGTTAGTATATATGTACCACTAGCACTAGCAGAACATGCTATTGAGTTTGCATTTAGTAGGGTGTGTTTTAAACTTTCCACAGTTTTTATGTCAGGCTTTGGTGAACCAGCTTTAACTACGGCTCCAATAACTGAAGTTACTAAATCAGCACGTGTCCCTGCTTTAACCAAACCATTCTGAATAAAATCTTCTAATGCTGAAGATGCAAGAATGATAACATCAAATATTTCATTCCTGCTAAGTCTAGCTGGAATTGAGTCGGGAGCTCCACCCATAGATGAACCGTATGAAATGTTAACTTTAAAAGGAAATTGTTTTTCAAATTCTGGCACTAACAGTTTTAATGCTTCAGCAAACCCTCCTGATGTGATAACATTTATATCTTCAGTGGTCATTTCTATTGACAATTATTGACAAGATTTAAGACATAAAAAGATTTAGCGACCTAGCAAAAAATAAAGATAAAATAATAAACATACAATATACATACAATATACATACATACATACATACATACGTACATACATACATGTATACATACATACATACATACACACACTATATAATTTATTTATACATAAGTATATATAAAATAGTATATATATATAATATATATATATATATATATACATACATATATATATATATATATATATATATATATATATATATATATATATATATATATATATATATATATATATATATATATATATATATATATATATATATATATATATATATATATGTATATATGTATTTATATATAAAATAATTTAATTATAATTTATATTTCAAATCAGATAGATAAAATGGTTGGCAATTTTTAACGTAAACTATAGGTATACATAAGTTCCGTGGGGTTAGATAAATAACACCTAAACTGTTTCCAACTTATTAAAGACGGTTGGCAGTTTAAAACAAATTACTTGAAATAGTAGTTGAAACAGTAGCTTGACCAAACCAAAATTTTTAGTCGTGGTCCTTGCAATAACCATAAAAAAAAATCTTTTCTTTAAAAAACTGTTTGCTCAAGCTAAAATTTTGCTGATGTATATATACTTTGTCGGAAACTGACTGTTGATTTATGTATACTTCGCCGGACTTATTTTTTATCTATGACATAAATCGCTAACTAAATCAAATATTTGTAATAAATGATTTAGGCATATTATACCATATAAAAATTTTAAAGACATTTGTCTATATTAACTCAGCGTTGTTAAGGTGAGATCCAAACGATTTGCATTTCTCAAAATTTAAAACCAAAGCATCAACCAAAACAAAATTACCACTAAAATACATAAAACGCGACGGGGCAGCGTCATAAAAACAGCTGAAACAAATGTGTTAAGTGTTTACATTCCAAAAATGTCTCTTTATTCGAAAGTAAAAAGACTTCTTGTTTACAGCATTAAAATATTCAATAATTGACTAAAAACCTCTTATTTTATCTTTCCCTAAACAATAAAAACATTAAAATCAAAGTTTCCACATTAGTTTTCACTCGCTACCACAATCTCTTTATAGTCGTTTGAATAAATTACTAAACAAAAACGTTTCAGCTTTTGTATAATTTCTGCCTCATAGTATTATGCTAAAACTTCCAACTCGTAGATAATAAAATCACAGAATATTTGTAAACAAAATAAAACAACGTGCTACGTAATTTGAAAAAAATAAATAAACCAATCAAATTAATTCTATATATATAACCAAGGACTTTAAATAGATTCTTTTTATTCAACCTTGTTAAAGTCTAAATATCGTTCAACTGCTTTACTACATTTTTGCAATTTTTTGAATTACTAAACAAAAACGTTTCAGCTTTTGTATAATTTCTGCCTCATAGTATTATGCTAAAACTTCCAACTCGTAGATAATAAAATCACAGAATATTTGTAAACAAAATAAAACAACGTGTTACGTAATTTAAAATAAATAAATAAACCAATCAAAATAATTCTATATATATAAGCAAGGACTTTAAATACATTCTTTTTATTCAACCTTGTTAAAGTTTAAATATCGTTTATCTGCTTTACTACATTTTTGCAATTTTTTTTTTTAAAAAAAACATTTGTGATAATTTTTCTTTTGAAAATGGAATAAAGGTGTGTCATATTTTACGATGCATATTAATTTTAAACATAAAATATACATAGCAAACATTAATTAAACTAAAAAAAAATATTGCTATAGGAAGTCCTCAAAGCGCTACCATGGATGTTAATCTGATTGGTTGTTTTTGATTATTACGAAACTTTCTTAATTGGGATTTATTAGTGCATCATGCAATGTTGGTTTATTATAAATTTATTAAAAATAAATAACAAAAAGAAACAACTTTTTATTTATATAAAGCATTGAAAATATTTTTCATGCGTTGAATATTTTTGAATATATTTGAAACTTTAAATAAAACAATATAAGGTAAAAAAACCATTTTTGTAAAATTTTAATGTAACAAATTTGATCTGATGATTATAGGCGCTACAAAAAGTGTTAACTGTCAATCAAGTAAAAATTTCGGATTTGCAAATGAGTTTATCTGGTAATAACTCGTTTAAAAATATTTGATTGTTAACACCTTTATACACAAAATCTTTAACTTATGCACATGAAACTGCGTTTCATGACGTAACGTTGTTGTTATTTGTAATATCTAATATTATCCCTAATCTTGAAGTTGCTTAATAGACTCACCTTATACTATGGAAGCAAGGCCGGCGCGATAGGGGTGTTTGGGGGGGGGTGTCACCCCCCCCCTCCCCATTAGTGATTTTCAGTCGGCAAATTAGTCCCTTAGTCGGTAAATTGGACCCTTTTAGACTAGGTAGTTGGCAAATGTCGACCCTTTCGTTATATGTTAGTCGGTAATCTAGACAGTCGGCAAATGTCGTCATGGCAGTCGGCAAATTTTGGAAGTCAAGGACTTTTTTTTTTTTAGTCGGCAAAATGTATTGGAACCCGCCACCCCCCACGGGACACCTACTCGCGCCGGCCCTGTATGGAAGTATAAAAACAGATGGAAGTTCATCTTCTGTTTTATACCTCCATGCTTGTAAACTGAAAATAAACTTATATTCATGAGGTGAATCAATCAATCTTTTTTATGTAGCAGCTAGTTTTATTATTATCTTTTTATGATTATTTTTTATGTAGCAGCTTGGCTGTTAAGATGAAACTTTTAGTTTAATAAAGTTATATTCAAAAGAGTTGAATTTAAAGTTACATAGCATGAAACTTAACGTTGTAAAAAATAATTGGCTTTATTTATTATAAATTAATTACCTTTACTTATTTTATATATATATATATATATATATATATATATATATATATATATATATATATATATATATATATATATATATATATATATATATATATATATATATATATATATATATATATATATGTATATATATATATATATATATATATATATATATATTTGTAAATTTATTTGTCTTCAATAAAAGAAATTAAAATTACAGAATAGCTTTATTACAAATATATCCCGCAGGACTTCCAGAAGATCATACGATCTTATCATGAAGCCCTTAACAATATCAAATATAATAATAATAACAATAAAATCAAATTAAAGCAATAAAAATCAACATAAACTATATATAACTGTGCATTTAAAATATAAATATACTGGATAAATTACCCGAAATATGTGAAGCTAAAAAAACTAAAAACAAGAAAAAATATTTTCTGCTGAAAAGATAACTTCTTTTAATTTTCGTTTGAAAGAAGTTAAAGTCATTTCAATGACAAATCAAAATTTGGCAAAACTATTTTATTCCATTAATAAGGACTGCGATAAGAAATAATTAGTTGTTCAAATTTAGTTTGGCAGAAAGGTTGTTGTAGATTTTTTCCATAGCGAGGATTGTATTTGTTTATGGGTTTTACATTATAGAGGTTTATAAATACATCAGGAGATAAATGATTTTTACATTTAAACATGAAACATAAAATGTTATAAACATTTAGTTCGTATAGATTTAAGGCTTTCATTTCTCTCAGAAGTGGTTTTGAGTTTGAAAAACGATTTTCAAAATTAATTAAGCGAGCTGCGTGTTTCTGATGCTGATAAAGAGATTTAAGTTTAGTTTTGTGCGCGCTTCCCCATACAATATTTGCATAATTTAAATGGCAGTGAATAATCGAATAATATAGTTATTTTAATTGTTGCTTATTTAAAATATCTCGAACTTTATATATAATTTTAATACTTTTAGCAACTTTCAAGGAGATATTATCGATTTGTTGTTTCCAGGATAAGTTTTCGTCTACAAGAACTCCGAGACGTTTTGTAACTTTTTCCCTTTTTAGTATTGTATTGTCAATGAAGAGGCTGGGCAGTGTATTTAGTAAGCTTTTTTTTCTGGATGTTGGGTAAAAAAGTGTCCATTTTATTTTATCAATATTGAGGGAAAATTTGTTTTTCTTAAATCAATATGAAATTTTATTTAATTCTTGTGTCCTATTATCAAAAAGTGTAATTACGTTTTCATGAGATTGGAATAGGTTTGTGTCATCAGCAAAAATTATAGTGATTAAGTTAGAGACTTTGTTGAGGTCATTTATATATATTAAAAATAATAGGGGCCCAACTATAGATCTCTGTGAGAGTTAATAGGGGCCCAACTATAGATCTCTGTAACACCACATGTTACATTCATTAATAAAGGCAAAGAAGAGTCTTGGATATTAACAAACTGTTTACAATTACTAAGATAGCTTTTGAACCAACTTAGGGATTTATCTTGAATTCCATAGAGTTTTTTAATAGAATGTCGTGATCGACAGAATCAAAAGCTTTAGACAAATCGATAAATACTCCAGGGTATAATGAGAATTTTTAAAAGAATCAGAAATGCTGCGTGTTTTTAAAAGAATCAGAAATGCTGGTTGAAGTATGGCGTGTAGAATAGATTTTCTGGAAGCTGAATTGATTATTATATAAAAGTTTAATATCAACAAAATAATTGTAGACTCTGTTATACATTATTTTTTCTAGTATTTTAGAGAAAACCGGAAAAACTGAGAGAGGACGATAATTTGTAATGTTACAATGGTCACCTGATTTATAAATAGGAGTAACTTTTGCTACTTTTAGAGAGTCTGGAAAGGATCCTTGAGAAATAGAAGCTTTACAAATTTTAAAGAATATATCTCTCAAAACGCCAAAGGAGTCTATTATAACATTTCCATTGATGCAATCAATGCAATGAAATATATATATATATATATATATATATATATATATATATATATATATATATATATATATATATATATATATATATATATATATATATATATATATATATATATATATATATATATATATATATATATATATATATATATATATATATATATATATATATATACATTGATGTAATCAAATATATATATATATATATATATATATATATATATATATATATATATATATATATATATATATATATATATATATATATATATTTGATTGCATTGAACGGTAACTTTAAAACAAGATATCACTCATAAACTAAAGTAAGAAAGTTATTTAAAATGTTAATGACGTATTTTTAAAATGAATTTTGAAAATTGTTTACATCATTTCTGCAATGATAAAAACATTTAAATGATTCGGTTTTTTCGAAAACTAAATTTCTAGTTAGCCTTCAGATAAATAAGATAAAAGCCTTAAGATAGGGCAAAGGAGGGCATTAAGACCACTTTTTTCATATACTTTCAGATTTTTCTATGGAAATAAATGTATATTATGAAATTCAAGAATTTTTTTTTTCATAATGATCGACAACATATTTGTATACGAGGCATAGCATTTTGATCGGAAAAAAAAGAGTTTTGTTAGTGCCAAGACTGGTAAGAAGTTAAAAAAAAATCGCAAAAAAAAGAAAGGCGGTACAATAAGATCAAGTATATTGAATGTATATATTTTTACCAAGACTTAGCGCAATTGTTAAAATTTTATTTGAAAACTTAAATATTGTTCCTTTTTGTAATTCAAGTGCCTTCAACATTATATAAAATGTCAAATAAGTCATAACACACCCATTTACCACTTCTATGTTCACTTAATACAGAACCTTTCAAGCGGTGCGGTAAAATACGGTACAGTAGAATTTTGACCGAGAATAAAAAAATATAAGGTAAAACTTTATTCTAGTAAACATAAATGTATGATAGTTCACCAAAAAAAAAATCAACTGTTGTAGCTCCAAAAGATGCACTTTTGGGCCTACATAAAAGGATTATATTTGTTCAGGAAAAGAAAAAAAAATTTAATAAATTTTGCATATATCGTTGGAAAGATAAATCAATGCTGATTTATATTTTTACAAGAAATGTGGTCTGAAAATGAGTATTTAAGAAGTTATGAATTATTATTCCAATCAAAAAATTATAAGCAGCACAGGGACACTGTAATTTGATTATTGATGTAATTCTTTATAGAATTAATAGTTTATACAAAGTTAAATCTATTTAACTTTGTATAAACAAACTAAATAAATTTCAAACCCAATTATCGGTGTGTCATAGATGAAGGAAAGCATAAATCTATGGGTCGCATAAATCGCATCAATCTTTTATGGATTTCCCCCCCCCCCTCCCTACCTAATACATTTGAATTTTATTTTTTTGTAAATTTATATATTTAACGCAGCACTTTAAATGTAAATTATGGACCATCAAACCTGAAAACCACCCCCCCCTCCTTTCTTCATAGCTAACAATTAACAATATTAAAATAAAAAGAGTTTTTTCAATGAAAATACTAGGAATAAATTTCGATGAACATTTAAATTGGAAAAGCCAAATAAAGTTAGTCGAGAACAAAGTTTCAAAGACTGTGGGGATTATGTACAGGACAAAACATCTTTTGAATAAAATATGTTTAAAAAACTTATACTTTTCATTTATACATAGTCATATTAACTATTGTAATATTGCCTGGGCAAACAATCATTCATCTTTCCTAAAAAATATTTATACTAAACAAAAGCAAGCAAGTCGATTAGTTTTGGGCGCAGATAGGTACGAAAGTGCCAAGCCGTTACTCAAGGAAATTAATGCGCTAAACGTATACGAACTAAATATATACCATAACTTGTTATTTATGTTTAAACTTCAAAATGAACTAATTCCAAAATATTTTTATAAAGGTTTCTCTCTAATTAACCATAAATATGAAACAAGACACTCAATAAATAATTACTACATCCCACCAACATCACTCAAAAAATCTGACTTCTCAATTACATGTCGGGGGCCACGCTTGTGGAAGTCAGTTCTTGACGAAAATATGAAAAAAATAAAATCTATTGATATATTCAAAAGAACTATAAAAAAACACTTACTAAACTCAAACATTACATACATTCTTTCATTTTTTTAAAAATAATATTTTTTTGATAAATTTGATAAAAAGCTTTTTTTTTTTTTTTTTTTTTATATATATATATACATATATATCTTTCTTGTTTGATTTTCTCTTTGACTGTTTTTTTTTTTTTAACTTTTTTTAATAAATACTAACAAATGAATTTAAATCTACATAACGTTTGGAATCTTTTTAATATATAAATATTTTTGAATATATACTTCGCTTTGTATTGAATATGTATACGTATATGTACTGATTTGTAAAAAAAAATTCAAACTTTTTAATTTACGCATTGTATACATTTTTATTTTTTTATTTCGAGATTTTATTATTATTATTATTATTTTTTTTTTTTTCTTTCTAATTTTTACTTTTTTTAATTTTTAATTTATTTTAAACTTTTTAATTTTTTTCAATCTTTTTACTTTATTTCAAACTCTTTAAATTTTTTTATTTTTATTTTAATTTTGTTTGAATGTTTGTTTATTTTTTCAAAATTTTTAATTTAACTCTTTTTTATATTATTGGAATTTTAGAAATTTTATATTTCTCTATTTCACAAAAGGGCTTGATGATAAGACTTTATGTCTTCTACTTGCCCCTGTCAGCTTGTAATTATATATATATTTATTCGAATTTAAAGATAACATTGTAAAATGTGTAAAACGACAAAATAAACTAACTAACTATCTGTCATTCATAGATGGTCAGGATCCACCAAACCATTAAAATTAAAAAATCAAAGCTCCCCCTCCCTCATTACTACATGGTCTGTATCTCTTTAGTAGCTTTATTTTCTTATTAATAACAAAAACAGTGTTACTTTATAAAATCTATAGGAAAAAATATTTGAAACAATATAGTAAACTTTAGAGTAAAAAATTAATTAAATAAAAATAATTTGCTTTTTATTTCATCAGTATCAAAATATGTAAACTTATTGAGACTAATATCTTGTGTTTTGCATGTCTTTCCTTAAAATAATTAAATAGTTATTTATTTTTTTAACTTTTTATTTATCATCATGTTCTATTATTTATCTTTATGTTCAATATGTATAATATTGTGATAACTTAAGCCTGTGAACTAGATAATCCTTTTTTTTTTTTGGGGGGGGGGTAGGTTATTATATTTTACTTGATTATAACTTTAGAATACTGAAACATTATTTATATAAATAAATTAAATGAAAAACCTTTGATGAATTAAAAAATATTATAAAACTATGTGAAAAAAAAACAAGTAAAAAGGGGTCACTTAAAAACAATAATTTTTAAGTTTATATTTTTACAAAGGCTTAGAGCAATCGCTACACTTCCACTCCATGACTTTAACATTATCTAATTCAGTTATCGTAGTACATTTTAAATGATACCAGATGTCACAAACATCACAGCACACCCACTGATCACCTATATTTCTACATCCACCACAATTAGGGCATAGAGTGTTGTTGCTTTCATTATAATCAAAATCATTTTTATCTGTCTTTTTTTTTTTTGTCTTCTTTTCTTTAGTATTTTTTTTTTGTTGATTTTTTGAAGCTTCTTCTCTTGTTCGTTTTAAACATGCTTCTGATGTTAAACTTTCACCATAGCGAAATCTTAAAACTCGTGCCGACCTCAAACGATGAGAGGTTTCTACACATTTGAATTGTAATTGTTTAAGAAAAAAATCTTTGATAGAGGAAGTCGACGTAGAAATTGGTAATGATGAAGCAGATGATACTGATGTTGAAATGAGAGCATCGTTAAACACAAATGCTATGAAGGTTAGGCATTGAGCATGATCTTTTAAGATGATTAGTTGAATGTAGTTTTTTCTTCTGGTAACATAAAACACCGATTAAATAGGCGTGTGTCAATAGCATCTTTGTTAAAAGGGAAAATGCCAGTTCCCTTAAAACCACTTTTGACTTGTTCCATAGTAAAGAAACTCTGAAAAAGGGAACGTAGTAGCCCTGGAAAATGTTTTTTCGACATTGGTCCATTATGTGTTACTTTTTACAGGTCGAAAAACTGATGTGTCTAAAGGTTGAAGAAGATGGGTAAGATGTGCAGGAATGCGTAGGAGAATAACATTATTTTTTTTGCCAAATCAATAAGTGGGGAGCTAACATGAGAAATATGGCCATCGAATATAAGTACACGTGGGCGGTTTGCAAGATGCTTTATATAAATTAGAAATATGTTTATAAACCATTCTAAAAAATGGGGGCACTTCATCCAGCCCTTACTACTGGTAGTATAAACAGTTCCATCAGGACCACCTTTAACCCAGTCCATATACAAATTTTTTCCTTTGTATATAACATATGGTGGCAATACCTGTCCACTAGCAGAGCATGCACAATTTACAGTAATCTGCTCCCTGCCTAATCCACCAATGCTCTGCGACACTCGAGAAGCACCTCGTTTTGCTTATACGGTTTGCTCCTTTGGGTCTGTGACAAACCCTGATTCATCAGAATTAAAGATTTGATTAGGAAGGTTAATTATTCCTGCTTTTTTAAATGTTTTTTCTACTAAATTTAACCAAGTTTTTATAGTTTCAGGATTTTCAGCATCGCTTCTTGAATTACTTAAGTGTTCAGTTTTTCTTGGAGTAATTTTGGGATTTCTTTGCAAGAAGGCATGCAACCAGTCTTTACTTGGTCGAGAATCTATAAATGGTGTTTCAATACTGTTTGTTGTGAGAAAATCTTGTATTATATCTTTTACTTCACCTCTAGTGAAACCCCATCCCCAATCAGCCATTAAAATTAGGCAATCTGACAGCTCTTTTTCTTGCTATGAAGTTAAAACTGTTTTGCGTCCTGGGTGAGAGTCAACAGATAGTTCACCTTTCACTTTCGAAAGAGCTCTCCTATCACACCTAAAATGTTTTGATGCTTGGTTTATCGACTTTTCTTTATTCAAAACAGAACTGCAGGCATCTATCATTTCCTGACTATTTAAGAAGGATTTCCTTCCTCCCTGCTTCAACTTTTTGTATGTTCGAACCATTCTTAAAAAAAAAACAATAATAATTTTCAAAAATACATTTAAAATTATTTTTTTTACATTAAAAAGTTGTTTGCAATTTTTTTCATACTTTTTTAAGTATATGTTATGAAATTTATAGCTGATTTAAATTTATTAAAGAGTTTTGCCATTTTTTACTAGTCAGGGAGGGCATTAAGACCTACTTGTTTTAAAATAAAAATTTTATGCTTTAAGTAAACAAATAAATAATTTTTTTTGAAACAAGCATCTCAAATAAGTCTTACCTTTACTAGGAAAATAAAAAAAAATTGCGTGTAAGGTATTTTTAAAGGTATAAATTAAAAATGTCTAAGCCTTCATTGAACGGCTATATGACTTGATGATTTTTACTAAAATAAATACGAGATTTAAATTATTATTTTTATGTCTAAATGTTGCTTATATATAATGTACAACTTTATAATAGTACTTACTAAAATTAGATTCTGCTTTACTTTCAAGAAATTTAAAAACAAACACTTAGGTATAGACTTTTAAATTAAAAACTGAGGAGCACCGATTTCGACAAAGTTTTTCATAAACTTTAAACAAAAACTTAGTAATTTGTTATTTCCACAGTAGCATAAAGAAATTTAGTTTTGGCGCTGCTAAAAAAGATCCTATTGTCCCGCTGATCTTATTACCCCGCTCTACCCTAAACAATAATAAGACAATACCAGCAAAGTTAGTGGATGGAAATGAATGGGATGATGTTTCAAATTACAAACGGGCTCTGTATGGTTGAAACATTAATTATACTTTACCTTTTAATTTTAGCTTTACTTCCTTGTGGCATAAATTCTTGGCAACTTTTGTACTTTAAAAACCAAAAGCATAATTTAATAATTTTATAATCCTATATAAAGGAGATTGTTTTCAATAAAATAATTGCGTGAAAACGAATAAAAATTTTAATAAAAAAACTAATTTTTTATGGAAATGCTAACAAAGAACAAAAAAATATTATGGCTAACTTCATTTTACAAAACAAAGAGAAAATGATCGGTTTTCTCTCTCCGTCTTGCAGCAATCAAGACCGAAAAGAAAAATGGCAAGAAGTAAAAAATCTTCTAGTACCTCACGGTCTTTCTTCTACTGTTTCAATTGAACATATTCGGACAACTGAGTGGCAAAACCTGAGGAGATCAACGATAGATAAGTTTAAAAAACTCAACAAATCTGGTGCTGAAGGTGGCCAACTATCTGACTATGAATGCACTGTGATGGACATCATAGGAAAAGAATCAGCACATATTCTCCCAGTCAAAGTTAATGACATGAGAGTTGGAAAGAAGGTTTTGACCAAAAACCTCGCCGGTGATGTCATTCTAACTGAAAACATTTCTGACTGACATTTCTACCAAACCCAGGTAGGGTTTGGTAGAAATGTCAGTCAGAAATGTTTTCAAAACAAAAACATTTCTACCAGACCCAGGTAGTTTTGTATCATATTTAAAATCAATTTATTTTTTCTTAGATATTTTTAAAAGTTATTTGAATCAGTTATAACAGTTGTTGATAAAAATTCTAAATAAAAATTACAAAGTAGACGTAAAGTGGTACTGTGGTTGATAAATGCAACATCTGTGTAAAATTAAAATTTGAAGTGTTTTCGTTTTAAGTAAAAACACTCTATAATTTATAGAAATCTCAAATGAGCAAGACGCAATTTCATCAAGCTCTTGCATTGTTATGCCATATAATCCAGCCTCTAGCCTAGAGTTCGTCCCTAAAACGCCTGTCAAAACAGTTCCGAAGTCTTTAGCTGAAAGATCAATTGGCCAGAATATACCAGTTTCCTCTACATGTTCTATTAAACGTTCTGTAAGAAGTTTATTTTATTACAGTTATTTTAACTTTTCTATAATAATGAATTACTGTATCTTCCTGTGTGCCCAGTTAATAACAATCTAGCTAGTTTGTGTCAAGTATTCGCAAAAATATTAGTGTAACATTAAATTTTTTAAATACTTATCATTAATTATAACCAACCAACATTTCTTCAACTAATAACTCATTTTTTTTAAAAATGAGTTATTAATTGGGGTCCAATTGATATTATCATATGCATGCAAAAATTTATTTAAAATGCAAAAGTTATAAAATATAATTTAAGTCTCTACTTTAACATATTTTTTTAAACATCTATAAGTAAAATTGTTTAGGTTCCTTTAAAATGACCGCGCCCAATCATCCGAATCAAATACTCTCAAGCATAAAGAGTCATAGATGATATATACATATACACTTAAAGATAGAGAATTTCATATTCTTTATTAAAGTTTTATTATTAATCTTTATTATTTTTAATATTGTCAAAAATTTGTTGTATAACAAGCTTAAAACATTTATACGTTTTGTTAAAAAGTATTTTATTTATTAACTTAACATTAAAAACCTAAAAAGATTCAGAGCTCCTGATGAGTTAAAAAATATTTTTATATAAGTTATTAACATTAGGGTCAGGTTAAAATCACATTTTTTGAACGAAGCATTTGCATTAGTGAAACAACTACAGTATTTGATCCCTGCGAGTCCCTGATTGAATTTCAGCTTCAGTTTCATCTCTAGCTTGAAAAGGAAAGGGTGTGGCAGGTAAAACTGGAAGGTCTTCTTCCTCATCACCAACTTTAAGGCACATGTTGTGAATCATGCAAGCACACACAATGAGTTTTGCAGCATTTTCCACTTTAGAAAATTGAATTGGTACTTGCAGAGAGTAAAATCTGTTTTTCAAAACCCCAAAACAGCGCTCTATAACATTTCTGGTTTTTCGGTGAGCATCATTAAACCGACGCTTGGGAGCGGATTGGTTGTCACTGGAAGGTGTGATGAGCCAGTTGTTGCAAGAGTAGCCTTGATCACCTAAGACAACTGCTCCAGGAAAAATTCCCCCACCCCGGACTTCAAAAGCATCCCAAAGTGCTGATTGACGTAACACCTAAAATGTTTGAATAAGAAATCTAAATTTTTCAGACTTGCTGGTTATTAATATACTAAATATGAAAAATGTAGAAAATATATTTTGTAGAGTATAAATTTAATGTTTTTTAAAACAAAATAATTTTTGATATTTTAACAGACAAAACTTGTATGTCAAAATATCAAAATTGTTTTTTTTTAAACAATATCTCTTTTAAATGTCCGAGAAACTAAAAACTTTACAGAATTGCTTATATGGATTTTACATTAGTTAAAAACTTATTTGCTTACTTTATAAAATACTGTTATTTAGATAAATGATAAATAAGCTAAATTCATTTTATACAAATTCAGTAAAACAAAAATCTACCCTAGAATCATGCCATCGCCCAAGGCCATCAGCATAAACATAATAAATGTACAAATCTGGTCCACAAACGCAAAGGACATTCAATGAATGAAACTGGTGGCGATTGAGGAATGCATCTTTATCTCTTGATGAAGGGATGATTGGAATGTGACATCCATCAATGCAACCACATACGTATATGCCCCAAGAAGTACTTACGGTCTTATCACTGAACACTGCGGAAGAGCATTTAATAGGAAGTTTACGCCTCCTTCCCAACCGACGTCGCAAAACTTGCCTAAAGATCTTACGTTTCTGAGGCAAGTGCGCTACCACTACGCCACGGCTGCTTAATATATATGTGTATATATATATATATATATATATATATATATATATATATATATATATATATATATATATATATATATATATATATATATATACATATATATATATATATATATATATATATATATATATATATATATATATATATATATATATATATATATATATATATATATATATATATATATATATATATATATATATATATATATATATATATATATATATATATATATATATATACAGAGCAGCTCCCATAGATAATCAATCAGGTTTAAATCCCAAAAATTTCCGGGCCAAAGACATCAATCTTTTTTTCTTTCAAAAACTTTATAATGGTTTTAGCCATGTGACATGGGACCCCATCATCCATTTAAATTCATTTTTCTTCATTTGGAAACCATTGTGGCAACAGTGGTATTAGTCTATCATTTAGAATTTCCTGATACTAATCTTGTCTCATTGTCTCTTTTACTATATGCAGCCTTCTAGTACCTTAAAATTATTTACCGACCACACCATGACAGATGTAGGATGCTTTGCAGATGGCACAATCCAATCTTTTTACCCTCACTTCTCCTAACAAAGCTAGATTTTTTACTCATAAATAGATTTGTTTTTCATATATAAACAACATTTCTAGTTATAAATAATATTGGAACAAAATCAACATGCTAATACTTATCAATATTGGTATGTTAATATTGGCACAATATTGTTTACTATTATTGGCGCAATATTGCATATCTTATCCGATATTGGATAAGGTGCTCAATATCGCGTCATTATTGCACTAATATTTCTTTTCACTAGAAATACAAGTCATTAAAACAATTTTTTTAAACTAACGTTATTAAAATTTTAAAGTACAATATTTATATAAAAACGTGTCTAACAGTGTTAGCAAATTAGCAACATCTTTTTAAAAAGCTTTTAATTAAAGTTATATTTGCTTAAGATTTATTTAAATCATTTTTTTCAGTTGGTTGAAACGCAAGTCTTTTAGAATTTTATACCCTTACAGACTTAATAACTTTGACATACGTTTTAGACGGTTTCGATTCACGCGTATAAAAACAACAACTTTAGTTTCACATTTCACCATTTGTTA